GAGAGAGAGAGAGAGAGAGAAGAGAGAGAGAGAGGGACGAGAGAGAGAGAGAGAGAGACGAGAGAGAGAGAGAGAGAGACGAGAGAGAGAGAGAGAGAGAAGGGAGAGAGAGAGAGAGAGAGAGAGAGAGAGAGAGAGAAAGAGAGAGAGAGAGAAGGAAGAGAGAGAGAGAGAGAGAGAGAGAGAGAGAGAGAGAGAGAGAGAGAGAGAGAAGAGAGAGAGAGGAGAGAGAGAGAGAGAGAAGAGAGAGAGAGAGGAAGAGAGAGGAGAAAGCGGAAGAGAGAGAGAGAGAGAGAGAGAGAGAAGAGAGAGAAGAGAGAGGAGAGAGAGAAAGAGAAAGAGAGAGGACAGAGAGAGAGGAGAGAGAGAGAGAGGAGAGAGAGAAAGAGAAAAGAGAGAGAGAGAGAGAGAGAGAGAGAGAGAGAGAGAGAAGAGAGAGAGAGGAAGAGAGAGAGAGAGAGAGAGAGAGAGAGAGAGGAGAGAGAGAGAGAGAGAGAAGAGAGAGAGAGAGAGAGAGAGAGAGAGAGAGAGAGAGAGATAGAGAGAGAGAGAGAGAGATAGAGATAGAGATGAGAGAGAGAGAGAGAGAGAGAGAGAGAGAGAGAGAGAGAGAGAGAGAGAGGAGAGAGAGAGAGAGAGAGAGAGAGAGAGAGAGAGAGAGAGAGAGAAGAGAGAGGGAGAGAAGGAGAGAGGAGAGAGAGAAGAGAGAGAGAGAGAGAGAGAGAGAGAGAGAGAGAGAGAGAAGGTCGAGAGAGAGAGAGAGAGAAGGAGGGAGAGGAGGAGGAGAGAGAGATGAGGAGATAAGAGCGAGAGAAGAAAGAGAGAGAGATAAGGAGAGAAGGAAGGAGAGGAGAGAGAGAGAGAGAGAGAGAGAGAGAAGAAGAGAGGGAGGGAGGGAGAGGGAGAAAGAGAGAGAGAGAGAGAAGGAGAGAGAGACTTAGGAAGAACTTCCTGACAGTAAGAGCTGTCTGACAGTGGAATTTGCTGCCAAGGAGTGTGGTGGAGTCTCTTTCTTGGAGGTCTTAAGCAGAGGCTTGACAACCATATGTCAGGAGTGCTCTGATGGTGTTTCCTGCTTGGCAGGGGGTTGACCCGATGGCCCGGCGGTCTCTTCCCAACCTCTAAGGGATCTCTGAGGGAGGGAGGGAGAGAAAAGAGGAGAGAAGGAATGGAGCGAGAGAAGGAAGGGAGAAAGAGAGAGGGAGAAAGATAAGAGGAGGAGAAAGAGAGAGCAGAGAGAGAGAGAGATAGAGATAGAGATAGAGAGAGAGAGGTGAGAGAGAGAGAAAAGGAGGATAGAGATAGAGAGAAGAGCAAAGGAGGGAAGAGGAAGGAGAGAGAAGGGAGAGAGAGGAGCAGACTTAGAGGGAGACAGAGAGAGAGAAAGAAGGAAGCGGGGAGAGAGAAGAAGAAGGAGTGAGAGAGAGTAGGAAGGGAGAGACAGAGAAAGATACAACATGGCAGAGAGAGAGAGGCTGGGATGGAGGCTGGAGAAAGATAGAGGAGAGAGACAGAGGAAATTAGTAGGGAGCTGAGAAAGAGAGACAGTAGAGAGAGAGAAACAAGAGAGAAAGGGAGAGAGAAGGGAGGAGAGGGAGAGAGAGAGAGGAGAGAGAGAGAGAGGAAATTAGGAGAGAGCGGGTAGAGAGTGAGGAGCAGGCAGGGAGAGAAAGACAGAAAGAGAGAGAAGGAGGGAGGGGAGAGAGAGAGAGAGGGAAGAGAGAGAGAGAGAAAGAAGAGAGATAAGAGAGAGAGAGAAGGAAGGAAGGAGAGAGAGAGCAGCGAGGAGACAGAGAGGAGGAGAGGAGAGAGGAGGTGGAAAGAGATGAGATGACGGAGAGGAGACAAAGAAAGAGAGACAGAGAGAGGGGGAGGGGGAAGGAGGGAGGGGAGGTGGAGAAAGAGAGAGGAGAGAGAGTGAACCCAGGGGAGAGAGAGAGAGAGTGAAGGAAGTCTCTAAGTTTTTTTAAAAAGAATAGCAGCGATCTCTCTAGAACGAAAAAAAAGCCAAACTAGATCAAATCAGGTGATAACAGATGAATGTAAGATCCAAAAAGGAGCAAGACAAGGATGCCCATTATCGCCATTATATTGTTTACTTTGGATCTTGGCAGTTCTGCCAAAAAACATAAGACAGATATAGGCAAAAACTGTAAAGTGAATCTGCCAAAAGCGTATGCAGATGACTTAGTGATAACAGTGGAAGAACCTAAAACTTACCCCTAAAGTAATAGAAAAATTCCAGAACCTTGCGGGGAAGTGGCAGGATTTAAGCTAAACAGGAATAAAACCAAATTATTAGTTTAAAACATGAAGGAAGAAGAAAGAACCGAATTAGTATCAAAAACATTGAGATTGAAGTCCATAAAAAAGGTTAAATATTTAGACGGTTAAGAAACTCATTTAAAAAAAAGAAAGAAAAAGAAAGAGCATTTTTTGGCAACACATTCATTTTTTAATTAAGCCGATATTTTTCCTAACATTGAGAGATTCATTCTGCTCCATATTTCTAAATCTCTTTTTACCTCAAGCCAAATTTTTCATAGTTATTTTTAAATAGGTTTCTTAACCAAATCCCTAAATATTTAACCTTTTTATGGACTTCAATCTCAATGTTTTGTTCTAATTCGGTTCTTTCTTCTTCCTTCATGTTTTAAACTAATAATTTAGTTTTATTCCTATTTAGCTTAAATCCTGCCACTTCCCCAAATTTCTGAATTTTTTCTATTACTTTAGGGAGTGAAGTTTTAGGTTCTTCCACTGTTATCACTAAGTCATCTGCATACGCTTTTAACTTGAATTCACTTTTCCCAGTTTTTACACCTATATCTGCTCTTATGTTTTTGGCAAGTACTTCCAAGACCAAAATAAACAATAATGGTGATAATGGGCATCCTTGTCTTGTTCCTTTTTGGATCTTACATTCATCTGTTATCACCTGATTTATTAGTTTGGCTTTTTGTTCTGAAGAGATTGCTGCTATTCTTTTTAAAAACTTAGAACTTCCTTCACTCTCTCTCTCTTTCTCCCCCTAATTTCCTCTCTCTCCTCTCTCTTTCTCCACCTCCCTCCCTCCTTCCCCCCTCCCCCTCTCTCTGTCTCTCTTTTTCTTTGTCTCCCTTTCCGTCCCTTATCTCACTCTTTTCGCTTTCTTCTTTCTCCCTCTCCCCCATCTCTCTGTCTCCCTTCCTTCTCTCTCTCTCCTTCCCTTCCTTCTCTCTCTCTTTCTCTCCCTTCATTTTCTCTCTCTCTTCCCTCTCTCTCTCTCCCTCCCTCCCTTCTCTCTCTTTCTGTCTTTCTCCCCCTTCCTTCTCACTCACTCTCTTTCCCGCTCTCTCCTAATTTCCTCTCTCTCTCTCTCTCTCTCTCTCTCTCTCCCTCTCCCTCCCTTCTCTCTCCCTTTCTCTCTTCATTCTCTCTCTCTCTCTATTTGTCTCTATTTCTCGCTCTCCCCTAATTTCCTCTTTCTCTCTCTCCTCTATCTTTCTCCAGCCCCATCCCTTCTCTCTCTCTCTGCCGTTTGTCACTTTCTCTCTATCTCTCCCTTCCTACTCTCTCTCACTCCTTCTTCTCTCTCCCCGCTTCCTTCTTTCTCTGTCTCTGTCTCCCTTCCGTCGCTCTCCTCTCTCTCCCTTCTCTCTCCTTCTCTTCCCTCCTTTTCTATCTCTATCTCTATCCCTCCTTTTCTATCTCTATCTCCTTCTCTATCTCTATCTCTATCTCTATCTCTATCTCTTTCTCCCTCCTCATTATCTTTCTCCCTCTCTCTTTCTCCCTTCCTTCTCTCGCTCCATTCCTTCTCTCTCTTTTTCTCTCCCTCCCCTCCCTTAGAATCATAGAGTTGGAAGAGACCACAAGGGCCAACGAGTCCAACCCCCTGCCAAGCAGGAAACACCATCAGAGCACCCCTGACATATGGTTGTCAAGCCTCTGCTTAAAGACCTCCAAAGAAGGAGACTCCACCACACTCCTTGGCAGCAAATTCCACTGTCGAACAGCTCTTACTGTCAGGAAGTTCTTCCTAATGTCTCTCTCCCCTTCTCTATCTCTCTCTCTCTTTCTCTTTCTCCCTCTCCCTCTCTCCCTTCCTTCTCTCTCTCTCTCCCTCTCCCTCTCTCTCTCCCTCTCCCTTCCTTCTCTCATTATCTCTCTCTCTTTCTTCTCTCGCTCTTTATCTCCTTTCATTTTCTCTCTCTCTCCCTCTCCCTCCCTTCTCTCTCTCTCTCTCTCTCTCTCTCTCTCTCTCTCTCTCTCTCTCTCTTCCTTCTCCCTCTCCCTTCTCTCCCTCTCTCTTTCTCTCTCCCCCCAAATTTCCTCTTTCTCTCTCTCTTTCTCTCTCTTCCTCTCCCGCCCTCTCTCTCTCTCTCCCTTCTCTCCTCTCTCTCCTTCCTTTCTCTTGCTCTCTCTCCGCTTCCTTCTTTCTTTCTCTCTCTCTGTCTCCCTTCCTTCTCTCTCTTCTTTCCTTCTCTGTCTCTGCCTCTTTCCCTTCCTTCTCTCTCTCTCCTTCCTTCTCTCTCTGTCTCTCCTTCCTTCTCTCTCCCCATTCCTTCTCCCTCTTTCTCGTCTCTCTCTCCCCTCCCTTCTCTCGTCACTCTCTACCCCTTCCTTCTCTCTCCTTCTCTCTCTCTTTCGTCCTTCTCCCTCTCTCTCTCTTTCTCCCTTCCTCCTCTCTCTTCATTCCTTCTCTCTCTCTCCCTTCTCTATCTCTCTCTACCTCTCTCCCTTCATTTTCTCTCTCTTTCCTCTCTCCCTCCCTCCCTTCTCTCTCTCTTTCTCTTCCTTCCTTCTCACTCACTCTCTTTCTCGCTCTCCCCTCATTTCCTCTATCTCTCTCTCTCCTCTCTCTTTCTCCCTCTCCCTCCCTTCTCTCTCTCCCTCTCTCCCTCTTCCTTCTCTCTCTCTCCATTTATCTCTCTCCCCCTCTCTCCCTCTCCCTCCCTCTCTTCTCTCTCTCTCTCTCTCTTTCTCTCCCTCACTGTCCCTTCTCTCTCTCTGCAGTCCTTCACTCTCTCTATCTCTCCCTTCCTTATCTCTCTGCCATCCTTCATTCTCTCGATCTCTCCCTTCCTACTCTCTCTCTCCTTCTTCTCTCTGTCTCTCTCCGCTTCCTTCTCTCTCTCTCTCTGTCTGTCTTTCTCCCTTCCTTCTCTCCATTCCTTCTCTTTCTCTCTCTCCCTCTCTTCCTTCTCTCTCTCCCCCTTCTCTTTCTCTTTCTCTCCTTCTATCTCTCTCTCTCTCATCCTTCTTTCTCTCTCTCTCTTTCTCCCTTCTTTCTCTCTCTCCTTCCTTCTCTCTCTCCCGCTCTTCCTTCAGTCTCTCTCTCCCTTTCATATGTCTCTTTCTCTCTTTCTCCCTCTCCCTCCCTTCTCTCTCTCCCTCGCTCCTTTCCTTCTCTCTCTCTGCCGTCCTTCACGCTCTCTCTATCTCTCCCTTCCTACTCTCTATCTCTCTCCTTCTCTCTCTCATTCTCCATCTCTCTTTCTCTCTTCCTTCGCTTTCTCTCTCCCTTCCTTTCTTCTCTCTTTCCCTTCCTTCTGAGCTCTCCCCTTCTCTCTCTTTCCCTTTATTCTCCCTCTCTCTCTCTCCTTCTCTCTCTCTGTCTTTCTCCTTCCTTCTCTGTCTCTCTCCCCCTTCTCTCTCTCTCTCCTCCTTCTCTCTCTCCCTTCTCTTTCCTTCTCTCCCTCCCTCCCTTTTCTCTCCCTCTCTCTCTTCCTTCCTTCGCTTTCTCCTTCCCTCCCTCGCTTACTTCTATCTTTTTATCTCTCTCGCTCATATTCGTCTTCTTTCTATGCAAGCACACCCCAAAAAAATGAAACAAAGTGAAAGAAGCATTCGTCTTCTTTCTATGTATATGAAACCAAACAAACCCTGTTTTGCTTTGATTGGTATTCTTTCACTTCACTTTGTGTTTTTTGGGGTAATATGCATGCAAACCTAAAGAACCTGAAACCAATTTGAAATATACTCACAAAGTGATTTCATGCTCTTTATTCAGCTCATAGTGGTGAGGAGGAATGAATGAAAGTCCCCTCAAAGTATCTGCTTTATATACATTATTTACACAATGGGCTGCACATGATTGGCTAATTCCGGAATTCTACTGTAACCCAATCAGGTTGTGGATTCGCTTCTATCTGGAGAATGATTGGGTGGTTCCTGCCAACCAATCATACTGCTGCATTATTCTAGGACCAATCCAGACTGCTGCATTCTGAATCCTATTGTTCTAGGACCAATCAGACTGCTGCAGTTTGTTTGTTTTTCATAAGATATTTATTAAGGTTTTCAAGATTTTACAAAACGCATAAAAAAAGAAAAAATACAAAGTAAAAATATTTAAAAACAATTCATTCCTTTCATTGCTTGACCTTCATTTGCTTATTTCTAGGACCTCCTCACACCTTCCTTTTTTGTATTCCAGTTCAGTTATTTCGTTCAGCAAATCCCTCCCCTCTTTATGTATCCTAGTCATTAATCACAAAAATATTGTAATTTTAGATTTTTACATATTAATAAACCCTTTTTTCATATTCCCTTGTAACCTTTCAGGTAAAGACCACTTAGTTTCTATCCAACATCATTCTAGCATTCATTAATTTTACAATATTTCTGTAGATAATCTTTGAACTTTTTCCAATCTTCCTCCATCGACTCTTCTCCCTGGTCTCGGATTCTGCCAGTCATTTCCGCCAATTCCATATAGTCCATCACCTTCATCTGCCATTCTTCCAAGGTGGGTAGGTCTTGTGTCTTCCAATACTTTGCAATAAGTATTCTTGCTGCTGTTGTGGCATACATAAAGAAAGTTCTGTCCCTCTTTGGCACCAATTGGCCGACTATGCCCAGGAGAAAGGCCTCTGGTTTCTTCAAGAAGGTATATTTAAATACCTTTTTCAATTCATTATATATCATTTCCCAGAAAGCCTTAATCTTTGGGCACGTCCACCAAAGGTGAAAGAAAGTACCTTCATTTTCTTTACATTTCCAACATTTGTTATCGGGCGCATGGTAAATTTTTGCAAGCTTGACTGGTGTCATGTACCACCTGTATATCATTTTCATAATATTCTCTCTTAGGGCATTACATACCTGTGGTCCGCAACTGTTCCCAGTCAGCAAACATAATATTATATCCTAGATCTTGTGCCCATTTAATCATAGCAGATTTCACGGTTTCATCCTGAGTATTCCATTTCAACAACAAGTTATACATTCTTGACAAAATCTTAGTATTGGGTTCTAACAATTCTATTTCCAATTTTGATTTTTCCACCTGGAAGCCAATTTTCTTATCCAAATTATATGCCTCCATTATCTGATAATAATGAAGCCAGTCCCGCACTTTATCTTTTAATTTTTCAAAGCTCTGCAATTTCAATTTGTCTCCTTCTTGTTCCAAAATTTCCCAATATTTCGGCCATTTGGCCTCCATATTGAGCCTTTTCTGAGCCTTTGCTTCCATCGGTGACAACCACCTAGGGGTTTTATTTTCCAGTAAGTCCTTGTATCTTATTCAGACATTTAACAATGCTTTTCTGACAATATGGTTTTTAAATGCTTTATGTGCTTTAACCTTGTCATACCACAAATATGCATGCCACCCAAAAACATTGTTGAAACCTTCTAAATCCAAAATGTCTGTGTTCTCAAGAAGCAGCCATTCTTTCAACCAGCAGAATGCTGCTGATTCATAATAAAGTTTAAGGTCTGGCAGGGCAAATCCACCTCTATCCTTTGCATCGGTTAATATTTTAAATTTTATTCTAGGCTTTTGCCCTGCCAGACGAATTTAGAAATGTCTCTCTGCCACTTCTTGAAACAGTCCATTTTGTCCACAATTTGCAATGATTGAAACAGAAATAACATTCTTGGCAATACATTCATCTTTATAACAGCAATTCGACCTAGCAAGGAAAGCTTCAAGTTTGACCATATCTCTAAATCCTTTTTCACTTCTGACCAACATTTCTCATAATTGTCTTTAAATAAGTTTAAGTTCTTAGCAGTCATGTTAACCCCCAAGTATTTTACTTTCTTAACCAATGTTAAACCTGTCTCCTTCTGAAACCTCTCTTTCTCAATTGATGTTAAATTTTTCTCAAGCACCTTGGTTTTTAACTTGTTCAACTTAAATCCTGCCACATGACCAAATTCCTGAATCAATTCTAAGACTCTTTTAGTACTAGATTCTGGCTCCTGTAGTGTCAATACTAAATCGTCTGCAAAAGCTTTCAATTTGTACTGTTTGGCTCCGACCTGTATACCTTTAATCAAACGGTCCCTTCTAATCATATTTAGCAAAACCTCCAGGACCGAAATGAAAAGCAATGGGGAAATTGGGCAGCCTTGTCGTGTCCCTTTCTCTATCTTAAATTCCTCTGTTACCACATTATTAACTATTAGCTCAGCTTTTTGTTCTGAATATATTGCACTTATACCATTTTCAAACCCTTGGCCAACTCCCATCCCCTGAAGATTTTTCTTCATGAAACTCCAAGAAATATTATCAAAGGCTTTCTCCGCATCAACAAAAATTAAAACTGCTTTGGTATTGATATTCACTTGCAACATCTCCAAAATGTCAATTATATTCCTCGTGTTGTCAGACAAGTGTCTACCTGGGAGAAAGCCGGCTTGGTCTTTATGGATCTCTTCTACTAATACCTTTTTTAACCTTTTAGCCAAAATATCTGCAAAAATTTTGTAATCCACATTGAGCAGGGATATGGGGCGGTAGTTCTTAAGTTGCGTCTTTTCAGCCTCATTTTTCGGTATTAGTGTAATATAAGCTTCTTTCCACGACTCTAGCGCTTTTTCCCCCTCCAAGATTTCATTACAAACCTCCTTTAGTGGTTGAATTATCCAGTCCTACAAAGATCTATAGTATTTGGAGGTTAAACCATCTGGCCCTGGAGATTTGCCCAACTGCATGTTCTGGATGGCACCTTCCACCTCCTGTTCTGTTATTTTATAGTTCAACATTAGCTTATTTTCTTGAGAGATTTTTTGAAGCCCATTTGTTTTTAAAAATTTGTCTAAATCGCACTCTTTCTGTGGCCCTTGTGTGTATAGCTGTTTGAAGTACCTCTGGAAACATTTTCTAATTTCCCCTGGATTCTGGATGTTCTTTCCTTCCACTTCCAAGTTGGTAATAGTGTTAAGTTTTTGTTTTTTTTTCATTTGCCAAGCTAACAGTTTTCCACATTTGTTAGCCGATTCAAATGTCCTTTGTTTCATCTGTTTAATTTTCCATTCTATTTCCTGATTCATCATCTTCATATATTGAACTTGGTATAACTTTATTTCTCTCAGAATCTCTTGTGATTTTGGTTTCGCTCTCAGTTTCTTCTCCCCCTCTTTTATTTTTTCCAAAATTTTGTCTTTTTTCTCATTTTGGGTTCTCTTCTTTATTGCATTTTGTTGAATTAGAAACCCTCTCATAACTGCCTTGCTTGCGTCCCAGATTACTCTTTTTTCCATGGTAGTGTTCATATTTATCTCAAAATAGTCTCTCAAGGTTTTTTGGGCCTTCTTGGTAACTTCTTGATCTCTAAACAGGGTGTCATTCATCCTCCATCTGAAGGAACCGGTAGGTGTTAATTTCATCTCCATTTTCACAGCATTATGGTCGGAGCAGGTTTTAGGGCAAATTTCCACTTTTCGAGTTTTAGGTGCCAGTCCTCTAGTAATCCAAATTTGGTCTATTCTTGTCCATGTCATTTTGGCTTCAGAGAAGAAGGTTCCCTCCCTAGCCAGGGGGTTCTTTATTCTCCAAATGTCAATCAAGTCCATATTGTCAGTCATCTCAAAAAAGGTTTTTGGTAGTCTGCCATCTTTGGTAACTACCTGTCTCTGCAACTTGTCCATGTTTGTGGATACCACTCCATTCATGTCTCCCATCATTATAATGTTGTAATCCATATAGTCCAACAATGTCTCATGCAACTTCTTAAAAAATTCAGATTTCCCCTCATTTGGAGCGTATACTCCTACTATCAGAAATTTTTCTCCTTGTGTTTGAATTTCAATTGCCACATATCTTCCTTGATCATCTTTAAAAATAAATTTAGGCGATAGGCTCTCTTTCGCATAAATCACAACTCCTCTCTTTTTGACTTTGTCCGATGAAATAAACTCCTGGCCCAATCTTTTATTAATCAGTACTTTCCTATGGAGCCTTATCACATGTGTTTCCTGCAAACAAATCAAGTCCAATTGTTCCTTTTTCAATAAATGAAAGACTTTTTTCCTTTTCTCCGGGGAATTAAATCCATGAATATTCCAACTTAATAGTTGCAGGGACATGGTGTATTTATTTTACTTTTCCTCCAACTGCACCAAGTAAATGCTCTTGTTCTGTTGGTGGTATCACCTTCTCTAGCTTGTCCAATCCCAAAGGTAGTGATACTATGTCCTGTATTCCTGATTTTAAAGCTCTTGGCTCTTTTCCAGTTTCTTTTTGTAAGTCTTCTTCGTAATCTTTCAGAAATGTTTCTTTATGTTCCACTGATCTTATTTTGAACTTTTTCCCTTTAAAGGTAAAAGATAGGCCTTGAGGGAATTCCCACCTAAAGATGATTCTATTTGCTCTTAGCAGGGCCACCAAGTCTCCGTAGTTAGACCTGAGATCCAAGAGATGTTTAGGGATGTCCTTAAATATCTCCACTTTTGATCCCTTTATTTCCAAGGTCTTCTGAAAGTGCAAGCTCAATATTCTGTCTCTCTCCTCTCTTGATTGGAGGGTAATCAAACAGTCTCTCACCCTGTTCTTTCTCCCCCCTCTTCCAAGTCTAAAGGCACTTAGTATCTTGAAGTCTGGCTTGTCTGGTTCTAGGTCCCAAAAGTCAGTAAATTCCTGCGTAAGAAAGTCACTCAGGTTGTCTTTCTCAAGTTCAGGTACAGCCCTGACCCTTAGATTTGTCTGTTTTTCTTTCAATTCGATCATAGACAGCGATGACTTATGATCCTCCAGCTGCTTACATATCGGTGGAATCTTTTCCTCTATCTTTTCCTCTACAGCCAATGCTTTTTGCTTGGCCTCTTCAGCTGTTTTTCGATTCAAAGTAGATTCCTGCAGCAGTTTCTCAATAGATTCTGTATTTGAATTCACCTTCTGCCCCAAGTTGTTAATGCTTGTTGTATTTTGATCAATTTTAGTTGTCGCTTCAGCCACTTGTTTACTCAACTTTTCCAAAGATTGAAAAATTTTATCTAAGGCTGAAGATAAACCCCCTTCAGCTGCCATTCCTTTGGATGCCACCTGGGCTGAATCTTCCCCTGGTGGGGCAGGAAGGCTGGGTGCTGACGGTCTACGCTGCTGCTGTCTAATTTTACCAGATCTTGTTGTTTTTTCCTGAGTCGAGTCTGCCATAACACTTTAACTAAGAGTCAAGGTCGGTCCCACGCTTGCTTATTTGTGGTGGAAAATTCCCCTTTAGTATAGCCAATTTAAAGTGGAAAATTCCCTGGCCAGTTGTAGTAATTTCAAAGTTCCTCTAGGGGGACACAGCAGCAGTTCCAAATTGTAAAAATAAAATAGCTATTCCAGCTTTCAAAGATCCCCCCTTAGCCGCAAAGGGCAACAGTTTCAAGTCCAGTGGAGCTTTTCAAAATCAAAGTATCCCTCTCGCAGAGCTAACTGTCAGAAAGTTGCATTGTCTTTTGACAGCGTGTTTCCCAATACGGCAATATCAATGTCCCTTGACAGTCCGTTCCCAGGCATTAAGTGATGGTCTTAGTTCACTTTCTCTCTTCTTTTGCGGGCAAAACTTACTTCCCCTTCTCCCTCCCCTCTCCCGCACCACAGGGAGGGAGTTCTCTTTTTATTGATGTAGGATTTAAGTCTTTTTCAACGCAGTTTCAAGCTCTTTGCTTTTGACAGTCTTTGCTTTGATCTATTTACATAAAAGGAAGGCGGACTTCCTGTTTACACCTTCCCGCTTCGGTGCCAAATTAGCCCTTTTTTCCTTAAGTCCCCCGATCTTCGGTCTTAACCTACTCACGGGTAGTTGTTTCTTAGCCGAATTGTCACAGGAAAAAGGTCGGCGCTCTCCGGCAACAGCTGCGCGGCTTCACTCCACGGAAGAAGCAGTTGACTCTCAGCATCGCGCCAAACTCCCCGCTCCGTTCCTGAACTCTTTCCAGGGTTCCCTCGCGAGTTGGGGGGGCGCTAAGGGTACCCGCCGAGTCCCACGGTCACAGCTACACCCGCCTGTGATTTTCGAAGGGGTCCCCGCTTCGCCGTAGCGGCACGACCCGATTTCCGCGGAGCTATTCCCTCGAGACTAGAGGGAATCCGCCATTGCCGATGGCGCCGCCTCCGGAAGTCCAGACTGCTGCAGTTTGGATCCTATTCAACTCAGTACATAACACAATTGAAAGAAGCCCAAAGCTTATTTGTCTTCTTTCTATGCACATGGAAGCAAAAACAACCTGTTTTATTTTGTTCAGGCTTCTTTCATTTCGCTTTGAGATTTTTGGATGCACAGCGAAAGAACCTGAAACCAAGTGCAAGTGAAAGATGCCCAAGCAAAGCTTATTCGTCTTCTTTTTATGCATATTGAACCAAAAAGAATCTGTTTTCCTTTGTTCGGGATTCTTTCACTTCGCTTTGCGATTTTTGGGTGCACAGCCATAGAACCTGAAACCTGGTGAAAATATCCAATCAAAGCTTATTCGTCTTCTTTTTGTGCATATTGAACCAAAAGGAATCTGTTTTGACATAACGAGTTAGAAGGAGGGGAGGGAGAGAAAGAGAGAGAGAAAAGGAAGGAGAGAGATAGAGAGAGGGATGGGAGAGAGAGAAGAAAGGGAGAGAGAGAGAGAGAAAGGTGGAGAAAGAAAGAGAGAAGAGGAGAGGGAGAGTGAGAAAGATAGAAGAAAGGAAGAGAGAGAGAGATGGAGAAAGAAAAAGAGAAGAGGGAGGGAGAGAAGAAAGGGAGAGAGAGAGACGAAAGAGAGAGAAAGAGAGAGAGAAAAGGAAGGAGAGAGATAGAGGTACAGAGAGGGAAGGGAAAGGGAGAGGTAGAGAGAGAGAGAAGGAAGGGGAGAGAGAGAGAGAGGAAAGGGAGAGAGAGAGAGAGATAAGAAATGGAGAGAACGAGAGAAAGATCAGGGAGAGAGGAAGAGAGATAGAGAGAAGGAAGTAAGCAGAGAGAGAGAGAAGGAAGGGAAGAGAGAGAAAGAGTGAAAGTGAAGGTGAACGATTTAGTTGAATACTGCTACTACACAGATACTGTGATACTACACAGATCCCTTGAAACTTTCAGTAGTTTTATCAAATTTGGTTGCTGTTTTGGGGGCGTGTCCCATGGAATTTCTCAGATGTTTCCTTGGAGAAGAACCTTCAATATCACTTTGCATTTATCTTGAGCTGAAACTAATGGCATCCTCAATCCTACCAACAGAAAATGTCCTGGTGTAACACCAACTGAGTCTGCCCATAGTTCAGGAACCTGAGTGAATTTATCTGATAGTGTGTACTTTTTAGAAGCCCAGAGTACCTCAATATTACTGTTGTGTACAATTATGTTCTAATGGATTATTGAATATTACTTCATTTGATATGTTGCTTATTTTAAAGTTATTATTTTATTATGACCTTGTTGTATTGGATCAGATTATAAGGTGTGTGATCTTTGTTGTATATTTCGTTGTTGTAAACTGCCTTGTGTAATACAGAAAGGAAGTATACAAATTAAAAGTGAACTGAAATGAAAAAATAGAGGAAAGTCACATCAGGCCAGCTTCAACTAACCTGATGTGCCAGCAAAAGCCCGTGCAAGGACTTCCGCTAGCCCAAAGTCAGGTTTCCCCATTCACCCCACAAGTACCTCTGCACCTCCATCATATCCATTCTGGAAGGTCAGGAGAACCCCCAGAACAGCAGGGGGGGAGATTGTTCCAACTGACAAAGTGCGATGCTTACACTGATGGAAAGATCATAATAATACAACACTGAAATATTTCCTCCCATTCTTTCAGTCTGTCATTGATATTTTAGTGCTGTAAATTTAAGAAGCTATTGAGCCAAATGTTTGGTACTTTTTTCATCAGAAAAAAATCTGATATAGCAATTACCAAATTCAAGGGTTCAGGAGTTCAGAACTTGAGTGAATTTCTGCAACACAATGTGCACTTTTAAGAAGCCTAGATAAAAGTCATATTATCCTTTTCAGTTTATGTTTGATATTTTGGTGTTGCAAATTCTTAGAAGTTGCTTCTAGCTTCTGCTCTTCTTCATTAATTATCCTCATGGGATGTGGTCCCTCTGGGATCTCATAAACAGTTCTGAATTTCCAACATAAGATCATGGATTTAAAAATGTTTGGAGATAATATAAATACTTTGGCAATACCATAAAAATGTAAATCTTAATTGGTTCCGACAAAACTATGTTTTGTTCTTAGCCAGATGAAGATTCTACAACACTAGTGAGTCATCTAAAGATTTAAATTTCAATAAGTAGGACTAAGTTAAAACGGATGTTTGCTGAATGTTCAAGCGCATTCACAGTGGAGTGATTTTTTTGAGAGGTAAGTGTGATAAAAAGTTTTGAAGATGTGTTTGACGCTGTTTCTAGTAAACAGTTGTATATGGTCTTTCAATATAGAAGGAGACCCTTATGGTAGACAGATATTCCATAAAATATAAGAGTGACGAAGAGTATCTTTTTGAGTTGAGAATCTACATGCACTAATTCAGGACCTAAAGAATACACTTAGAGATATTTTATATGGTTGCTTCATCTCCCCAAATACACTGTGATGCAAACATGTTGTTAGAGCCTTGTTTCAGATTATTATTATTATTATTATTATTATTATTATTATTATTATTATTATTTACTGCACTTTCTGTCTCTTGTTTTTGTGAAACACCTTCAGTGTGTCAAAGTCAAAGAGCAGGAGAAAAATCTCCTAAGGAAATACTACAAACAAACAAACAAACAAATGTTTTAGTTTGCTCCTTGTGAGTAAAGCTAGCAAGTGTGAAAGGAGTGGGGGAGGTTTGGTTTGAATGCAAATGAAGAAAGGGAAAATGAAGAAAGGGAAAATGCAAATGAAGAAAGGGAAAATACCCTCTATGCTTTCCTAATTACACAGAGCCAATTGAATTTGTTAATCTGCTATCAAATGTTAGTCAGTTTGCAGTACAACCTGGTGAATGTTAATGTATCACCTAAATTAGATTATATGCCTGTTGTCTTTGTCCATGGAGTTTTCTTGGCAGGTATACTGGAGTGGCTTGCGGTTCCTGCTCCAGGTGGATCACGTTTGGTCAAAACTCTCCACTATGACCTGTCCATCTTGGGTGGCCCTGCACGGCATAGCTCATAGCTTCTCTGAGTTATTCAAGCCCCTTCGCCACGACAAGGCAGTGATCCATGAAGGGGATCTGATCTGGTCCATGGGGTCACGAAGAGTCGGACACGACTAAACGACCAAACAACAACAAAATTAGATTAATCAACAAAAGCTTTACATTTTGCCTTTCATTAGTGGCTGGGACTTAGTCATGATCTCTACACATGAACTTTTAATTTGTTTTCCATTTATAACATTTCACAACTGAGGAAATAAACAGAAGGGCTGGAATGTCGTACATGAGGTCCAATGATATTTGATATCACTTTTTACAGGTAACATGGAAGAATGGGGCAACACAACTGCAGTGACTGAATTTGTTCTAATAGGCCTCTCCAGAAACCCCAAAGCACGTGCTGTTTTGTTTATTCTCTTCTTGCTGATGTACGTGGTTGTTGTAGCTGGGAATGGACTTATTGTGGTGCTCATTGTGATGGATTCGCACCTCCATACACCCATGTATTTCTTCCTCAGCAACCTCTCCCTCATTGATGTTTGCTATGTCACCACCTCTGTCCCACAGATGCTGGCCCACTGCTTCACAGACAGGCCCACAATCCCCAAGGGCAGATGTTTTGCACAAATGAGCATTGCTCTGTTTTTGGCAGTGGCCGAGTGCCTTTTGCTAGCAATGATGGCGTATGACCGTCTTGTGGCAATATGCTACCCTCTACGTTACAGCTTAATCATGAGCCAAAAGTTGTGCATCTCTCTGGCAGTCAGCCTGTGGTCTAGCTCTTTCCTCCTGACCATTGTTCCCTTTTTCAGTATGCAGGCACGCTTGTGTGGGCCCAATGTGGTGAATCATTTCAAATGTGAGCTCCAGGCAGTGTTGAAATTGGCCTGCTCTAATACCCAAGCCAGTGGAGTCAGCATGATGGTAACCAGTGTCTTCACTCTGGTGTTCCCCTTCTCCTTTGTTTTGGTGACCTATGGTCGCATTGGTGTCGCTGTTCTGCATATCCGCTCATCACAAGGCCGTAGTAAGGCCTTGTCAACCTGTGGTTCTCATCTGGCTGTGGTGGGAATTTTCTATGGCACAACCTTGGCCATGTACCTCAGGCCTCAAGCCAAAACATTCACTGACAAGGAAAAAGTAGTGGCTGTGTTTTATGGGGTCGTCACTCCCATGCTCAATCCCATGATCTACAGCCTGAGGAACAGGGATGTGAAAGGAGCCCTGTGGAGAGCAATTGGAAGGAAAGTGGAGGAATAAAGCACTTCAGAAATTAAATTCTATATTGATAGATAGATATCAGCAGGAATACGTAAAGTGTTTTGTTATTCTGCAAATGGGTGGAGTTCAAAGTAGTGCTAAGGAGATCATTCCATCAGTGTAAGAATTTCTGCTTGTCTGAAGGGAAGGATTTCCACTTCAATGTGCTTCTCTGGAGCAGAATGGGGGGGGGCTGCCCATTTGCACTAGCATGAGTCATGCTGGCTCCCACTAGCACAACTTATTTAATTGAATCTAGTCCAATATTTTTATTGCTGCTGGTGGTTATGGTGGCAATATAGCTTCTCATAGTGAGGAAAGGAAAATATTTAGCTGTACCCCAAGCAGTTTACAAATCTAACTATAGGCATGGGCTGGGGGAACCTGTGGTCCTCCAGCTGTTTTTGGACTCCAACTATCATCAGTCCCAGCTAGCATTGCCAGTGTGATCAGGGAAGATGGGAGCTGTATTCCAGCAACATCAGGAGGCCCCCAGGTTCTCCATCTTTGCTTGAGTAAAAGAGTAAAAGGCAAGGAAAGGCAAGGATATTTACAGTTTCTTCTCTGCAGATTTCTTGACATCCTCTTTCCAAAAATTGTATGATCTCAGAAGCAGTTTTATTTTTTCAATCACAACTAGTAAGAGATCGGTTTTTGGTTTTTGGTTTGCTTTTCCTTCCTTCTTTCTCTTGGGGAGCATTGTTTCCTAGCTTGTCTTCAGAAATTCTCCATTAAAACACACTTTTTAGGCCAGCTAACCAAATGTTAAAAATTTAAATCACCATTTAAATCACCATGTTGTAGTATCATTTAAACTTGAGTGGTACATGATGTGCATAAAATGTTTTTTGTAAGATTAAACCATATTAAACATCTTTCACAGTAAGCAAAGTCCAACTCTTCTATTTACCATGTGAAAGATCTATCACACAACCCTCAGAAGTACCATTTTCAGCCATCAAATAAATTATTTACATATTCAGAGTACAAACAATTTGTATTAAATTGTCTGTGTATTAAATAAATTTATTATATATAAATATCTTCCTCTCCAAGTCCTTAGAATTATTTCCCTCTTATTTTACCTTTAGCTATGAATTCCTTGCTTCAGTTTCTGTTATTCTACCAATATGGCTGTGGGGCTAAAAGAGTATCAGTTGATTATATAGAACAGGTATGTCCAACTTCAAGTAGGCTGTGACCCAGTATCAAAAACTGGCAGTGATCTACCACACTCTTCCATTGTCATTCTTCAACTTAAACATATTATATTTGGCTGAGCTTATATTTGGCTTCCCCAAGGCCTTAGCGGAGGACCATGTCCAGCCCTGCAAAATGCAATATTGCTTCCCACTGCAGGAAGATGAGCTCCCTTTCCTGGGTTTAGGAAGCTGCCTTATACCAAGACAGACAGACCTGACAGATTGGCAGCTTCTCTCCAGAACTTCAGGCAGGAGAATCTTCCCAGCCCTGCCGGGGCCTCAAACCCAAGTTTGCATCCTTCCTCACACAAGCACAAACCGCTCCATGATCATGCTGCTCCCCTGCCCCATGAAAAGTTCCTCAAGGCAAGGTGGCGTGTCACAACCCCCACACCAGCTCCCTCCCAGGGCCCTTGGCACACATGGGAAGCCAACATGCCCCCCCCAAGTTCAATTTCTCCTTTTACCAGACAATGAGTTCCAACAAAAAACAAAAACAGAACAGTTATACTAAAATTAATCTCCAACCAGATATCCATCCCACCCACCCCCAACAAAGCAAAAAAGGAGAAAAAGAAAGAAAAATTTAAAATGCCACCGACTGCTTAAGGACATTTTAAAACACATTAACCACTTGGAACAGGGAACAATAGCAGAACAACTTCCCACACTTCCCAAAAAGGTTGTTCCAAATGAGGGCCTGGGCCATGCCCCCTGGGCCATTTGGAAAAGCCTTGAAAGGGAGCAGGCCCTGCAGTCCTCACCACAGCCAATGGTCCAAGGTCTCACTGCCACAGGAGTCCTTTTGTAGCTGGGAGAGTGAGGGCCTGGGCCAGTTGGAAAAGCATTGGCATTAAGAATGGCATTAAGAACCATCATCACTGTCATTAACAAATGAAGAGAGACTTTAAGGTTTGAGTACTCTTCTAGTCTTCTGTGAACCCCAAGAACTCCCGCTGCTACAAACCTTGAGGGGAAACGGCAGGCTGCTGGCAGAGCAGCATCCCCCACCCCCATTCAGCAGCATGGACGCACAGCCCTCCCGCTGCTTCAAAGATTCCCGGGGCTGCAGGGGGAAGCCGAGCCTGCTGGCAGAGAAGCGCAGCTCTTCCCACCGCCCCCATTCAGCAGCCCAGGAGCGCGGGGCATGGGCACACAGCCCTCCCGCTGCTTCAAAGCTTCAAAGCTTCCCGAGGTTGAGGGGGAAGCTGAGGCTGCCAGCAGAGGAGCGCGGCTCCCCCCCACCAAAGAGCAGCCCAAGAGCGTGCCACACTCCGGCAATTTGGCTCCAGGGACCACACATTCGCTCCATAAGACGCACAGACATTTCCCCTTACTTTTTAAGAGTAAAAAAGTGTGTCTTATGGAGCGAAAAATACGGTATCAACAAATCATGTTGATAATGGAGGCTCGCCCATAGGCAGAGGCACACTCCCAGGTCACTCCCACTCTGCCTTTCGAGATTGTGTGACACTGCGGGATGCAGTGAACTCCCCATACCCCACAGAGGAGCATTGAGAGGATTTATGCCTCATTTCCTCTCCTTCCTCTGCCTGAACTTCCTCACAACCCACAGAGGGCTACAAAGAACAACCACCGTTGACTCATTGATGTAGCCGGAAACCCCAAAAACAGTACTTCTGTCTTGTCAGGATTCAACCTCAACCCATTAGTCATCATCCATCCTTCAATCACCTCCAGACACAGGACATTCATTGCCAATAATTGGTTCTGATTTAAAAGAGAGGTAGAGCTGGGTATCATCTGCATACTGGTGAACACCCAGGCCAAACCCCCTGGTGATCTCTCTCAGCATCTTCATATAAATGTTGAAAAGCATGGGGGAGAGGACGGAGCCCTGAGGCACCCCACAAGTGAGAGCCCAGGGGTCTGAACACTCATCCTCCAACATCACTTTCTAGACATGACCCAGTTTGTGTTTGAAACAAAAAAGAAAATGATGACAACTGAAGCAAATATACTTTGTATACCTCACAATACACATGACACTACAATTTATTAAAAAAAGAAAAAGAAAGAAAGAAAAGAAAGAAGAAAAATAGTTGAGGTTGCTGTCAGTCAAGCAAAGCGGGAGCCGCTTGCAGGGCTTTGCACGGCTCTAGCTTTGCTTGCTTTACAGCCAGGAGGAGGGACTCTCTGAAAGTAAGCAAAGTGAGAGCCGCTTACGGAGGAGCCAGGGAGGGGGACGTCCGCGCGCTCTCTAAACGGAGCAATGAGGCTGCAGAGGGACGGCAGGGCACAGGAGGGCTTGGATCGGGAAGGATAAAATTTAAGCAACCAGCAGCAAAAAACCCCCAACCTCGAGCTCTGAGCCACGAGCGCAGTGAAAACCAGGAAGTAAAAAACAAGACTGGGGAGGGCACGGGATGAGGGAGAGGGGAAAACTACGCAAATCCCCTGCGTCTCAGCTGTTTTCAGGCAGGATAGATTTTTTTTTTAATGATATTTATTGGAGTTTCACATGAAAAAAACATCTTAATAAAGAAAAAAAATTTAAAAATAGAAGAAAAAACACCACACAAAGTACGAAATACAAAATACAAAAAGAAAAAAGAAAAAACAGTTAAAAACAATTCCATCTTTTCATCACAACATTTACATTTAATTATTTACCGGACCTACTCATACCTCCCTCTTTTGTATTCCAGTTCAATTTGTTTGTCCAGCAATTCCTTTCCCTCCTTTTTAATCCCATCCTTAATCTTAATATAATATAACATTAAATTTTAATCTATTAAAAGCCAATTTTCCATTTCTTTTGACTTTTTTAGTCCTAATCCTTAATCTTAGTCTATATATAACTTTAAAGCCTGTACAGCTAGAAGCCACTTAATTTCAATCCAACATCACTCTAACATTCTTTAATTTTGCAATATTTCTGTAAATAGTCTTTAAATTTCTTCCAATCTTCTTCCACCGACTCTTCTCCCTGGTCACGGATTCTACCAGTCATTTCCGCCAATTCCATATAGTCCATCAATTTCATCTGCCATTCCTCCAGTGTGGGTAACTCTTGTGTCTTCCAATACTTTGCGATAAGTATCCTTGCTGCTGTTGTGGCATACATAAAGAAAGTTCTATCCTTTTTTAACACCGATTGGCCGACTATGCCCAGGAGAAAGGCCTCTGGTTTCTTCAAGAAGGTATATTTAAATACCTTTTTTAATTTGTTATATATCATTTCCCAGAAAGCCTTAATCTTTGGGCACGTCCACCAAAGGTGAAAAAATGTACCTTCAATTTCCTTACATTTCCAACATTTATAATCAGGCAAATGGTAGATTTTTGCAAGCTTGACTGGGGTTATGTACCACCTGTATATCATTTTCATAATATTCTCTCTTAGGGCATTACATGCCGTAAATTTCATACCTGTGGTCCATAACTGTTCCCAGTCAGCGAACATAATGTGGTGTCCAACGTCTTGTGCCCATTTAATCATAGCAGATTTCACGGTTTCATCCTGAGTGTCCCATTTCAGCAGCAAGTTATACATTCTTGACAAATTCTTAGTTTTGGGTTCTAATAGTTCTGTTTCTAATTTTGATTTTTTCCACCTGGAAGCCAATTTTCTTGTCCAAATTGAATGCCTCCATTATCTGAAAATAATGAAGCCAGTCTCGCACTTTGTTTTTTAATTTTTCAAAACTCTGCAATTTCAGTCTATCTCCATCTTGTTCCAAAATTTCCCAATATTTCGGCCATTTGACCTCCATATTGAGCTTTTTCAAGGCTTTCGCTTCCATTGGTGACAGCCACCTTGGAGTTTTGTTTTCCAATAAATCCTTGTATCTTATCCAAACATTAAACAGTGCTTTCCTGACAATGTGATTTTTAAATGCTTTATGTGCTTTGACCTTATCGTACCACAAATATGCATGCCATCCAAATACATTGTTAAAACCTTCTAGGTCCAAAATGTCAGTGTTTTCAAGAAGCAGCCATTCTTTCAACCAGCAAAAAGCTGCTGATTCATAATAAAGTTTAAGGTCTGGCAGGGCAAATCTACCTCTTTCCTTTGCATCTGTTAGTATTTTAAATTTTATTCTGGGCTTCTTGCCCTGCCAGACAAATCTAGAAATATCTTTCTGCCACCTCTTGAAACAATCCATTTTGTCCACAATTTGCAAAGTTTGAAACAAAAACAACATTCTAGGCAATACATTCATTTTTACCGCGGCAATACGGCCCAGCAGTGAAAGCTTCAAATTTGACCAAATTTCTAGATCTTTTTTCACTTCAGCCCAACATTTTTCATAGTTATCTTTAAATAGATTCCCATTTTTTGCTGTCATGTTAATCCCCAGTGTCAAGGCTGCCTCAAGTCTCAGCTCACAAAAGACCAACGCCTATGTCTTCTTATATACAAAGGTGTTTATTGCAGTTCATTGTTTGCTTGACATCCTAGGCGCGCAGCCTTACGTCTCTTACGCTTAGACCGCTGAAGTCCCCTCTGAATCCGTCCCTCCCCTGCACCAATTTAAGAGGCTTGCGCTGCTCCACCTCTTTCTCTCCTTCCTTTTCCGCAGGGTCCTTCTGCCCGCTGGGGTTTCGCTCCTCCTGGATTCCTCTGACGCGGAATCAGACTGCTCTTCCCCCCTCCTGCGGGCTTTGGGACCTGGCCCCTCCTCCGGGCTCCCTGTACTTCCGCGCGCCTCTACATTTGAACTAGGCGCGCGCCCCAAACCTCTAACTTTCCTTTTGACAGTTACACTACTCCCTTCACTGCTCCCCTCCCCTTCCGGGAGGGCGGCTTGCTCTGACCTCCCTCCTTTCTCTGCTGCCGGAGCTGCTTCCTCTGACACACTGGAAACTCCACCCCCTTCGCTGCACTCTGGTGGGGAGGCTGGTCCTGACGCCCAGCTGCCACTTTGGGATCCTCCGCTGGCCCCCTGCTCCTGACACGTCCCCCCTGGGGCTCCCTGGCCTTGACCACCGGCGCCCCCTTCTGGGAATCCTCTGATTCGCTGGAAAGACTCATGGAATCTCTTGAGTCATTGTCATCCTCTTCCTCGCTGGCTTGGAATTCCTCCCCATCGCTCTCCATCTCCTGCCTACCCTGTGCCTCTCTCCCTGAACCCCTGACACCCAGGTATTTAACTTTCTTAACCACTGTTAAACCTTAATCAGGCAGGATAGATTTGAGCATTGTCTGGGTCCTAGTGCCCCTACCGCTTTTTTGTGCTCCATTCTATTGCTGCTGGTGGCTGCTTATCACTCAAACTGAACCTGATACCAGTAGCCACGTGTACAAACAAAGTAGAAGGCTGCAAGGAGGAGCGCTTTTACACAGCTAATAGCAAATCCCCTGCAATCCAAGTCCTCCTCACTTGCTCAAATCTATTCTGCTTCAAAACAAGGAGCGGAAGGAACAGGCTGCAAACTGTTAAATGGAAAAAACCCCAGGCACAGGGCAAATACCTTAAGTATACCTTTAAAGCAACAGTGCTCTTTCCCTCCCTCCTCCCCACTCAGCTCCCCGAAAAGCTCCTTCAGTGTGGTGTAGTGGTTAAGAGCGGTAGTCTCGTAATCTGGGTAA